CTGACTGATGTTTTTCTTACTGTTCGTACATTATTTACACTGAATAGATGACAAATTTTCCAGATCATAACAAGAAGAACACGGTGTGTGTAACCGTTTGACAGAGTACTAGTATACAAACTCCTCCATAGCACCTGATCCAACCGCTGACGTTTTAAAGATCTGTGTTTGCTCTGCTTCTAATTTTTATTGATTAGTAGACTTAAAATCTTCAATACTGTTTGTTATTTTCATATGATTTATTAAGCGGAAGCTGTTATCTGCGAAAGGCTCTAAAAGGAAAATGCCCCAAACGACAACACCTTTGCAATAAAACAAACCGTCCCAATTCAATATGACAATGAGTTTTGTTGACAAAAAATAAACAGATGTCACAGGAAATAAGTACTGTAAATTTAGGCCCTATCAATTAAATTAGGGAATAACTATCTTCTAATTTGGCATTTGCGACCATTAATGCTGATTTAACGGTCGCAAACTGAGTTTTACATGCGATGCATAAGTGGAGCCGGTAATACGGATGTTTGCAACCGTTAAATCAGCATTAATGGTCGCAAATACCAAATTAGAAGATTAGTTATTCCCATTCTAATGCAATCCATGCATTTTGTTTGTTGTGTACATCTTATCTTGTTGAATTTTGTTACATGGAATAGGTCACGGAGCATTTTTGTTTCTGCGTCGCTCTATTATGACGTCACAATGAAAAAGCTTTCACGCTCGTTAATACTCGTTTTACTGCTTCAACTTCAGTGCATTAGCCAATCAAAAGCATGTTTTACAAAATAATTGCATTAGAATGTAGCCTTAACAATTACAACAAAATCTACCTTTTCCATGTTTGGAGCATCAACATCGCCTGAATCTTTATCAATAAGGTTTTCTTGAATAACTTCTTCCATTTTATTTTGGTGGTGTATAAGCTTCCCTGTCAAAATAAATGCATAAAAATTTGAATCATTCTGTAATTATTCAAGGTTCAGGGAAGGATCGACTGATCTGAAGCAAAAACAATGATATATGTACATGATATAATAAAGTGTAAAAAGCAAGATTGTCACAGAAAAAAGAGAAACCGATGGATGACAAATAAGAAATATTTTGAGTTCCAATATTATTTTGAAAACGAATAGTTTATGATACCTTGAAGCTTAGACTTTAAATTTGTCGCAGGGTATGGTTGTTTAAAGTCGTAAATCATTTTTGTGTTTGGTGTTTTTGCGATTTCAAACCCTGAAAAGGCCTCTATGTATCAAATTGTCACTTTTGTACGATAAAAAATATTTATTGTCGCACAAACTGACGTTTTCCTTCCCTGCAGTCTATGCCGCGTATTTCACTAAGGAGAAAAGAATAAGGATTGGTTAAACATTTAAAGGCTAGACAATCTTATGCCTACTTTGATTTGTCAGGGTTTTGTGTAGTTTAGCTAACAAGTCAAAGTAGGGTAATTCCAAGAGGAAGGTACAATTTCGCCTCTCTCGTCTCCTAAAAAAATATACGCATGCAGATCTTCAGTATACTAATGAAATGAGACTTTTCTTAGCAAGGTTTTTTTTATCGAGTTTATGGGTAGTACAAAACATATGACAAACTGCTATTTGTAATAGCAAAGACACTGACACTGTCTCCCTTCAATATAAGATTGTCTTTTAGTTTGAATAAATGTGAGAATTTATGTCCGTAATTTACCATTTAATCTTTAGAAGATCGCATGTATTTGCGAATTTGGTTTCTAAACTTTTTATAGAGAAACAAGTATGTGCATCAATGAATTTCCTTAATTTTAATGGGACTTATCCAACTTTATTTTTAGAAATGATGGACCATGACGCTGTTTTAGAAACTTTGACGTCATCATCCGTGCGCCGTAGGGCGATACAATACATTATATAAAATTTCATAGTTTGTTTATTTATGTTTCAGTGGCGGATCCAGAGGGGGGGTTACGGGGGTTGCAACCTCCGCTTTGGATTTGCAAAAAAAGAAAGAGAAATAAGAAAGTTTCAATTTTTTGTTGTGTTTTTACTATAGAAAATGTAAAGTGAAAGGCTAATGTTGTAATATATAAAGAGATTCGGTTGTAAAAACAAAATAAAACTCCATCCCTTTACAAATTAGGATTTACAGGTTCGGAGATTTATTTTCCTTTCTTTTTCAAAAACTTCTGATAATGTATACAAGTACTTTTTCCAAGGTTGATCAACGTCCCACTTTCAAAAACCATACTCCACCCTGTATCGATATTCTATTGAGTTATTTGACTATAAGTATGTGTACAACGTAGGTTTTAATTGTTTTCGCCTTCAACCCCCCCCCCCCTTTTGAAAAATACTTCACCCCCCTCCCTCCCTTTGAAAATTTCCTGGATCTGCGCCTGAATCATTAATCATCAACACCACCTTAAACATTTTTATGAGATGTGCAGATTGTAATTTCTGTTTTTGTGAAAGGTGGGACCTTAGAAATAATTTAAAGCAAAATCACGCCATATGTTTTACAATATACACATATCACGGTTGAAGTTACCAAATAACTTTGTATATACTTAAATTATATTGTTAATTATTGTACTTACTATTTGGTTCTGACTGAGCTAAGTTGACACCACACCTCGATCAAAGCCGTTTGTAATGTTTGTTTAGGCATGCAGATCGATAAATCCTCTTTTATGGGGAGAAAAAGAGACCTAAAAAAGAGTGCAGTGTCTCAAACCATGTACCTGCAATTTATCTATGCAATAATTTATTGCTAAAAAGCTAATGATAATCCAAAAATAAAATTAGAAAAAATAAAAAATATAAATTAAAATAAGAAAAAAATAGAGCTGTAAAAAATAAATTTGATCAATATGTAAATAAAGCGCGCAAGGATATTAGCCCTAGCACAGCAAATACGCCAGGGTATATTTCCTCACTATGCATATTAGCTTGGTTCCCTTGCTCATCTGTTCGCGGGATACATGAAGCATAACAGAGACAGGGTACCAGATAATGCAAATATCAGCAATTGGCACATATCCAATTTTTTGTTGAATATCTGATATTTTGTTGAATACGTGAAAGATATCATTATATCCGAATAATTTTGATAACTTTATTTTTCTTGATGAAAAATGACGACAAGTAACAGCAACATTGAGTCACATCCGATGTTTTTAAAGTCCTCACATTATGTCCTCTGTCACAAAATTTTCACCTTCTTTCCTAAGGAATTCGTCAAATTATCTGTTTTTGCACTCTTACTATGAAAAGTGAATCCACATTTTTCATCCGCAGTACAGTTAAGGCAACATTTTCCATAAAAACTCACGAAATCCGATACATATAATGTTTAACAGTTTTATTTTTGAGAAAGACACTCTAGTTAAAATTGCTATTTCTTATCTTGAAGAGTATGTCCATCGCTTTTCACATCGGTATTTTTTTACATCATGTGACTCCCTGAAGTCAAGTGGGCTCCGATTTTAGGTCAAGAAATGAGATGTCAAATTTAACCAAAAAGTACAAGGGCAAGGCAAACAAAAAATTAACTGCAAAATGTTTTATGTTGTCACTATGTATCTATACTTTCTCAAAAGTGATGCTCATTCAGTTAGTTTTCCGATATAATTAAGTTATTCAGCTAAAACAGACAGTAATGTATGAAAAATAAGATATTTTCCTAATTTCATTGCGAATTATAAATTAACTAAAGGATAACAAAGAAATGAGCATCACTTTCTGAAAACTATACAATAAAATAAATAATTTAAAATAAAAACCTACTTTTTAGATTGTCGCCTTGCCCTTGCACTTTTTGATTAAAAATTGAAATCTTGGAAGAGTCAATCTAATTTTAGTTTTCAAACGCATCATTGACCCAGCATGGGAGATAACTCTTGAGTACTTGATATAGTTTGTTTACCTCGTTAATTTTAAATAAATATACATGTGGACAGTGCTTGACTCTTTTTTTTACTTAATCAAACGGTAAAAAAAAAATCGTTGACATTTCTTTCTTTTCTTTGTATTCGTTCTCCATATATTGTATACATTTAATGTCTTTCAAACCTCCCGCATTTCCTCAAAGATGTATATATACATGTATATACAAACAGGTCTAAATATTACCGATATATTGATGGAGAACACAAATGATTAATTAAAATATAGCCTTCGTTAATAATTAATTATATATCTATTCCCCTCTCACACTACTGTACGCATAGGCGTCGGAACCGGGGTTGGTGGGAGGGGGGGTGGGGGGCTGGGGATTAGCCTCTCTACTTTTTTTCAAATTATATACGTAATGTACGCATTGGAATTTACCTTAAAGTTTTTCTTTTGGTTATGCCCCCTCCCCCTTTCAATTAGTCCCTTTCATTTGCTTCCGACGCCTGTCGTACACAAACTTGTGTTAATAATTTTTTTTCTTTCTGCATATGAGATCATGTTCCACGATCGCTTTCAATCAGACCGCTTACTATTAATTATCATAAAGGGATATAAACTAAGTTTTAAGTTTTACGAACTAATCAGAAAGCATTGGGTTATACTCCTGTATTTGTTAAGGGGACAGCCATTTTATTCTGAGGGGGAGGGGTTGGCAGATTTTAGAAATAAATACTTGCAGATCAGTGATCTCCGAGTTGGTAACATTTTTTTTTCATGTCAGACTTTTCAATGAAGGGGAAAATAAATAAATTATCTGTCCTTTATTTTATTAATCGGAAATAAATATTAAACTGTCCTTCATTGACATGAAAATAAAAAAAATCTGATTCGGAAAAACTCGCCTGCCCCCCCCCCCCCCTTCCCTTAGAATCAAATGGTGGTCCCCTATCCTATTTTTAATAAATTAGTGGGAAAGCTAGTTTTCTGTGTGTTTTTTTTTTTGTTAAATATTATTAAAAAATAAATGAACACAGTGCACATGCTGGAAATAAGATCTTTATGGACATTAGTACCCTTCACACAAAATAGTATGCAAGTTAAGATTTTCAAATCTTAATGGCCTTTTCAACACATGAACAGTAAATAAATTAAAAAGTCAAATTATTTTATTTATCTAGACAAATTATTAAATAAACATTTCTTTTCAAATCCAATGATAGACTGTAGGCCTAGGAATGCTGGGCAGGTGCAAATTATTTCCATCACTTCATGTTCTTGTGGATAAAATGAATTCTGAAAATATGAAAAAATCAGGAAATACCATTATTGAAAGTAATTTTGTGTTTTAAAAAATTAAATTAAAAAATGCATTGAAGCATTTAACATAGAATGCATATACATGTTTTCAATTCTTCTGTTAGTTTTATTATCAAAACTTTGTATGGTTTATAGCTAATACTGAGCATACCATTTTTCTTAAATGATAGATTAACTTCCTGCCTGAATGAATCCATTAGTCCTAGGGAATAGCTATGCCTACAACACAATATAATATTCAGTTATATGCTATGAAATTTCTAAATATACATTGTAGAATAAAATGGCATTACATTTTACAAAAAAATATGCTACATTGTATACTGTAGTGAATTTATATAAATGAAAAAAAAATGTCACAAAACTTCTCTGGGAAAGTGAAACTTCTGCCATTTACAATAGTTATTGATAGAATATTTTCTAAAAAAAAAAGAAAAAATTCTGAGTATCTCCTTTACCAAAGTGAAAAAAAATGTAAAGTACATGTAAACTTTAAAAATGTGAAATGCTTTAGAAGTATACATACCCTGTGGAGAAATGATGCATTTTTTATTTATTCATTCTTTAAGCCTGATACTCTTGACAGCTACAATGATAAAAATATTATATAAATATTTTAATGTACATGTAACAAAAATGAATATTTTTTTTCATTTCTTTAGAAATTCTAGAAAATTACAACCATAGATCTGAAGTGGGGCTTCTATGTTTTCAAAACAGTGATACTGATATATATATATATTTTTAATTGTATATATTTGTATGTCAAAAGACATCACAGCTTGTATAGGCCTATTCACTAGTGAATCATTGACTGAAACAATGAAAACATCTCATTTAATTAAGTTTAAATTTTTGTTACTGATGACTTATTACACATATTGTCTCAAAGAAAATGAGCTAATTAACAGGAACTCAGTACATATTTAGTGCAATTAATTTTTAATAATTCTAAAAAAGTGTGCAACTTAGTATGGGGGGGGGGGGTACACTTAAGCCGCTGCATTACAGTTTTTCACTGACTGTGATATGATGTGAAATGAACATGAGCACACTCGGGTTTTTTATGTTAACAAAAGCATGTCTACATATTGTAGATCTACACATGTACCTACATATGCGTATACATACCTGGCCTGGAATTTCAGTGCAGTGATGGATCTACGGAGCTTGTGCATATCGTCTCAGTTTTCTGCTATTTGCCGAAATAATGTCCTCATATTCTCGTAAAAGGAAGAACAATGCCGTGTCTCTTATTTTATCTCTATTTTCTTTAAAGATTGTGTGGCTATTGCATTTAAATCCACTGCAAATCTCAGCTGATGTCGCCACGTTTTTAGATATAAACAAAATTCCGTGTCACCGAGTGCAAGCGCTTGGCTGAAGCCGAATGCAGACAAACGACACATTAAAAAGAGAATTATTTTAAAGACATGCTATTATATATACGAGAAAATCATTAAGTATTTTCTATTTCAACATGAAGATATTGCTGGTTATTACAAATTCTTGCAAATATCGGTAAATTGTTATTTTGAGCACCATTTCCTTATATGGATTAATCAGGGCGGAGCAACTGTCATGACGTCAGACCTCATTATGACTTCATTACCATATTTTTTTCATATGTTGCCTTAACTGTACTGCGTCTTTCCGAACGAAATGCTCGTCAGTAGGGACATTCTAGTCAATTCTTTTGAAATGACTTGCACTAGAGAGATCTTTCAATGTTTTTCAACAACACTTTTACTAAATGACCCTTCTTTAAGCTTAGTAATGAGGGCATTGTTTTAAACTGTTTTCCCCCGTGGGATCCTTTCATGTTTATCAACAATACCATTCTTTTGCTTGTTTAGAATAAGGAAATTGTTTTGAATGTTTTGGAATGGGGTCATTTACCATCCTTCTGAAGATTCCGATATATCCAGTCATTAAGTACAATCTATGATAAGTGAAAATCTGTTTGTTTTCTCTGAAAGATAAAGGGGACAAAACAAAATTGTTCTGTTTGAAGTTTTTAAGCAGTTGCTTACAAAATACGGACTATACCAAGTGCTAAATAATTAATTATTATCAGTCATTAATGTAAAAACTTAAGAAAACCGTAATTTCCCCAACTGCAAGAAAGAGCTGCTCAACTTCATGCGTGATGAGATCTAGAGTGTATCAACATTTTTCAAGAGGAAAGAGAGAAAAGGGTTTGTGAAGAGTAACTTACCACTTGAAGTGGAAAACAAATAACACTGAATCATTTGTTGAAGATTGTGCTGAAATGAACTTCTAGTGCTCATGAAACATGCTTTTAAATGTATTTTTATATGTGCAAAATGTACTTAGTGTATGATTGAATGTTTAAATAGTAGACTATAGACATAGTGCTGTGTACTGGACAGTGCTTGTTTACATCTTAAAATTCATTAAATAAATGAATAATAATAAACTTTAAAGGTGTTCATTATTATTATAAAGAAAATAACGTTAATATATATGTATAGCATACAATATGTAAAGAATAAAATAATTACAGCGAAACGACAAATCGCAAAAATTGCCCCTCTATCTCATGCACCCCTTCATTTTTAATTCCAAGCGCTAGCTGGATCACTGCTCATATAATTTATTTAATATGTAAGGTACGTTACTGTTACTGTTTTAGTAAGTGCTCCACTTAATAACATGTAATATTAAATGCAAGTAAATTTTCATTTTAAAGGAATGTCACTGTGCTATATCAAGGATACAATTCTATCGAGAAGGAAATTAATTAATATTCGGCAAAATAAAATATTTTATATATATTTCGCATAATAATGTTATTAATTTTTGTTATAAGAGCTTTAAAATATTATAAACTTAGAAGCTTAAATATCAGGAACGTCAGATTAACAGATAATTACAAAAATGAGTAACTACTCTTAATTTTCATACCTACACATATCTTCAATGAAATACTAGTATGTGGAGATAACTAGAGATAACTTCATGTAGCAGTATTCATTAAACATATCATATTAGGAACGGAGCAAACAATTACCCCAAAATATCAGAGGTTGAATCAGGTGCCATGGAAGAGTGACCATTTCCTGCCGATCGGTCACAACCACCGTGTGTTAATTGTCATGATCGGCGAATAACGGGAAAAACCATATAAAACGCAATGTGTAAATAATGGCCTTATCAAGCTATTTAATCTATCTCAAAATACAGTGAAATAGGTTTAATCTAATGACAGTATAGGGGTATCCATGTGATTGAAACTTTTCTTGGGGACGTAAAAAAACATCAACCATTCAATAATAGTTAAATATTTCTAAATGATGTAGACACACATTAAGAATTAGCTGCAATAATGTAGCCCTCTCCCTTTTTTTTTTTTTTTTTTTTTTTTTTTTTTTTTTGGGGAGAGGGCTACAACTCCTTAGGATCTTCCTAATGGTGCAGCCGCGGGTGTGATTCGCTCCCGCACGGATTTCGGCTCAAATTATCAGTAAATGGCTATTTAATTAACATTTCTTACCTTGACTCCAAATAAGTAGTCATCCAAGACGTAAATCAATGCAAAAATATACAGAACGATCCTTATATCGCTTATTTTTCGTGTATGTCAACATCACAACTCGAATTTATCCGCCATGTTTACTGACCTTGATAGATTGTATTTTGGGACAGCCAATGAGAATTTAGGAGCGGATCTTATGGGAATTCCCTTATTTTAAGCATAAATATCGCTGCTTGCATAAAAATAACACTTAAAATGGTTTTATATACCTATGTTTTTGTGATGAAATTCAGCACAATCATTTATAAACACCGATAATTGCTTTATTCAGTTGTTCTAAATTTCAAGCGAAAGTCTCATTACGTCACGCGTAAACTGTCATGGCTGCTGAAGTAAACTACCAGGAAACTTGCAGAGTTATTTTACAAGTTTTTCGCATTTAACGGGATATGTTGTTGACAGTGAATAAAAATTTCGTCTTATTAGAAGTAAGTTGAATGTAAAAATAATTTATTTTGCCTGCAGTCGCTCATATTAAAAGAAAAATATTTGCACCATTACGGAGATGCGATGGAATTGTAGCCCTCTCTAGAAAACATCAGATAAAAAAAAGTCGGAGAGGGCTACATTATTGCAGCTAATTAAGAATGAAAAATAGCTATACTTCATGTAAAGAAAAATGGAAATGAATTGAATATATTAAGTATACTTCATTGGTACTTAATTTCAATAAAATATATAAATATTGAAAACGAATAGATCATTCAAACTATAAAAATTTTGAAGCAGAACAAACACGGATCTCTAAAACACAAAACGTAGGATCATGTGCCATAGAGGAGTGAGCATTCCCTGCCAACTGGTCACACCCACCTTGTGCCCCTTGTCATGAATTGCAAAGAACGGAGAAAATCTTTGACAATTTAATGTATAAAATAATGATCTAGAAACTAGTATGAAAAAAGTCTATGAATATTTGACAACTATAAATTGGATTTATTGACATGGTTATTAGGCATTTGCAAATTCTTTTGTTAAAAATATATTCTGATTGTACGAGTGTTGATCCAAAAGTTCGTGGAATTTCTTCATATTTTCTTCATTTTTAAGTGAAATAGGTTGAAATTACAAATGAGAATTTAGAAACTTTTTGAATATTTTAAATAAACATTTTAAATATATAATGATAATAACTCTATGGCACTTGCCATAGAATCGGTTCTATGGAAATGCAGGGAAGATATAAACTCTTTTATTATCATTTAATTCTTAATACGTGAAGTAAGAATAACCGACCTATAATGTTTATAAAACGAAAATTATGTTATTACTACGATTGCATGACCTTTTATAAACCTTTGTGTGAGAGTTACAGATTTTACTGGATATTAAGTTTATTATTTGGTGAGTTACTGTTCATCTTTAAATTGTTCTTCAACGTTAAATTTCGATCAAGTCATAATTTTTGTGAAAATCCCGGGATCACTCTATCTTAAACATGCATATTATTGACAAAGGCTGGGGAAAATGCATTAAGTTACTGGTTTTACAATGGCATAAGAAATTTAAGAAATATAGAACTTCCATGGACGTTGACCGTTCACGGTAGCTCAGTCGGTAGAGCGCTCGCTTCGTGAACGGGAGGTCGTGAGTTCGAATCTCGGACTCCGGACTGACCTAAGTCGATAAAAAATGGGTAGCAACTGTTCCTTAGCCATGCACTCGGCACGTTGAAGTGAAATTGCGGGTCCTTCGGATGAGACCTTAAAAACCGAGGCCCCGTGTCAGCAGCAGGTGTTGGCACGATAAAGATCCCTCACTGCTCAATGGCCGTGAGTGCCGAGTAAAGGTCAAAATTTAAAGCCCTTCACCGGCACACAGTGACGTCTCCATATGAGTGAAAAATTCTCGAGAAGGACGTTAATCAACATACAATCAATCAATCAATCCATGGATGTTGATTAAAGGAGTGAGCGATTTTTAGAGGATCTGTTTAAAGTGTTTATTCCCCTAGATAAATTAAAAGCGCTATTGGAGATTGTCAACTGACGTACTGTTCTTGACACTGCTACTGAAATTAGAACATCATAAGGAAAGATTGGGAGTATTTTAGAATATACGTAAAAAATGAAGATATGTTGGTGCAAGACGATACCCAGGCTTTTCTTTTGAGAAAAAAAAATGGGAGGAAATTGCAACATTTGTTAGAATTACGTATTCGAATTGGACATTAGGGTGAGATGATTCTATAACGTGATGTGACATATTAAACTTGACGTAACCTCGAAGTCTCCCCCAGGTTTCCAAACAATCTATTTTAAGAAAGCTCGTGTGAACTTATTAGTAATTGGAAGGTGGTGAAATTTTCCAATATTGTTGCATTATGACTGTATATAATAAATATGCCTGTTGTTTGCTTTCATCAAATCACGATAAAATTTAAGAGAGAAATTCCAAGAGACTTTTGGATCACCCCTCGTACATACAAGTACTCAGAAGATTCTATTAAAGAGATACTTGAGTTTCAGATTGTCAATATCTATTTGGTTTTGGCAAGACCAGGTCCAAAAACCTATTGAAATTTCCATGAGTACCATATTGCACCTCGTTATTCGCAGAACTATTTTGCATTCACACATGTATGAAGTAGAATATGTTTAAAATCTTAAACGTAGAGAGCAACTTTCACAAGCTGTAGATCTCAACCCGACATGCGAGCTTATCGACGACATTTTTTCAACAACAGTTTTTTTTTCTTCCCTTCCTTATGTCGATATATCCCAGTGAGCTTGAAATGAAAGATACCACAGAGTCTGATACATTCGTTTTTATTTGTAAAAGACGTTAATCATAATCTATCAAACAAGTTGTATCATAAAGGTGATGACTTTCGCATTTCAATAGTCAACTTCAGTTATTTATACAGCAATATATCCTCATCACCTGCATACGGTGCTACGGTGAACATTTCTTGGTTCATTCAATAAGCAAATGGATGCATTGCAAATGAACAGTTAGAGCGAGGTAGGTTAGTGACAAGAAGGTGATGAAGCAGTATTCTCGGTAAAAGTCATCATTTCGTAAGCTCTATGGTCGACACATTGAATTTGCCAGCAAATGCACTCTATCATGAAGTCAAATGCTGACTAAATATATACACACGAATATATTAATTGTTAGTTCATTATTTACAAACTGAATTGTCGACGAATTTTTTCGTAATTCCAAAATCACAAGACCGACCAGCTGGAGATGCCAACTCCTTCATTGTACATGTACCTGGTTCCATCTCTGACGTTTTAGAGGTCAGTGTTTCGACTGATCAAAAATATGTATAGTTTAATGGACTTTTGAGCTTGCAAACTTTTTCTTATCTAAATGCACGAATTTCATTTGAAAAAAAAACGATTTAATTGAAAGGGTTCCTGAGTTATTGATATGTCAGAAATAAGTGAAATTGTTCAATTGTCCCGAATATTTGACTTATTTATCTTTCGAACAAAGTAATCAAATAATCGACTAAAGAAAATACATACTTTTGCATTTTGTCACCCCTATTTTAAACAAAACTGTTTTGTTCTATTACAATAGGTAATTTAGATTTTAAAATAGTTCATATGTAGACCATGCTTTTACGCATAAAATCAAGATCTAAAAGCACGCATTTAGGTGATAAAGATGAATTGTTGCATAAGTACAGGAAGTTGATGATTTGCAGGATTCCCCTAACAGAATTACAAAATCAATTTGACAATTTTGTACAAGATAGAAAAAGTATTTATGCACGGGAACTGTAAATTAATAAGCAGGGCGTGCTAATTTGATTTTGACTAATAGGTTTTATCAAACGTTAACGTGATGTCACTCTTTTTTTTAAGAATTCTAAGTGCACGGCAGAAGACATCGTTTATAAAATAATATATTGGTGATCTTTAGCTCATAGCAAAAGATAGCATAAGTTGACAGAAGCGATAAGAATTATGTCACTTCAAACCTAAAACAGAAAAAAAAACTCAGACCGGTTTGCGTTGTTATGATGCATATTTACAAATGCGTATAGGTCCTACGTTTATCTAAAATGCATGTAAAATGTCTTTGCTCAGTGATACCTATATATAGCAACATTGTCATATTAATAAGGGACGCGTTTGTTGAGGACTTTCTTATCCAAGTCGTTTGTTTCCTCGAGCTCTACAAAGTACAATGAGACAAACGAGCGGAATAAATCCTCTCTTCAGCTTTCCTTTCTTGCTTTTGTTAGTAGTTTCTGGTTTTGGGAAAGTGTCATCAACAAATGAAGGTAAAACATATCCTGTGAATATACTTCTTTCTCAGAATAATTTTGGATCAATTGCTAGCCAAGGAATAAGATGAATAGATCAATATTTATTTTTCTTTTTTGAATTACAGAATGCACAGATGCACTTGGTCGGGAGTGTTTCCGGTATAGGGATGAAGACTGCGTTGGTGTGTACGAGACTTGGGCCAGGGCCAACTACAGTCTGCGATGTGGATACTGTCCACGTATGTTTATTCGTCGCTCATTATGTCTTTGATGGAAGAAGAGGACTTACATAAGTTTATTCTCAGGGTTAATAAGACGTTGGCTCCATTGCAAGTTAATGTAGCTATTTTTTTTTCAAGTTTAAGGAGCTGATGTCATATCTAAAATTCTGGAAACTTTAAGTAAACATGTAAGGTGAAATCCGACGATACAGTAAAACACGTTATTGTGCATAAAAGTTCAAAACAACCTGATTGGGACAAACAATGACCTCTAAAATAGCAAAAGTAGAATCCATTGCCTTCTAGGATTAAGCACTTCTTGTATTGACATATTTCTTAGTAAAGTCATTGTATCCATTATAGTAGACTTTTGGAAATTGGTATTTCCACGAGGCTGTTGAGACCTTTGCACCCCTTCCCCCCCAAACAAAAAAAAATCATAGTCCGCCGAGCTTTAGTTTTATTTTCTAGTTAATATTCTATTCTAGTAAAGGTTAATATTTAAACGATGCTTGAGTTTTTAATGCACAATATCTAGGTAGATTTGGTTTCATTATCGACGATGTATTGTCAATTACAATGGTTAGTTCCTTTTTTTGTTCATCGGATATATTCCGGTTAGCTTAAAAAAAAACAACAATAAGTCTGACACATATGTTTCATATTAGGATTTTGTATTTGAAAAAGACGTTAATGATATATTTACATGTAACAACTAAACCGACTATTTGATAATCATGATATCTTTAACATTTTTACCCCCAACTTCCCTAACCCGATACTTATGGAACAATATACCTTTACCATCTGCCAACCTTGTCAGTAGATACAATTTATCATATTCACTTTTAATGATGTAGAGGTTCGTGTTTATGGAAAGCCAACGGGTTCAAAATTCCAACTCTGTAATTCTTAAAATGTACACATGTAAACCTGAATTTGTAAATTGTAAATCTTAATTTCATAATTTGTCAAATGATCTTTCACAATTTGTTAATTGTAAATTATCCAACATAAATTGAAAAGTGTAAAAATGTAAATGCAAGTTATGTCAATGATCACGTGTAATTCGTAGACTTGCGATTTGTCAACTTATGAAATGTACTTGCGTGATTTGTAAATTATGCAAGGTTGCACATTAAGACGAAAGAGGGCGCTATTAGAGTGGAAAGTCATTTCGCCCCAAAGGTAAAAAAGATCCTTAATAACCAATTGAGTTTTGTGATGTGCATGCATATCATGCCTTCAGACGGTCTCTTAAACTGTTTACAAATGAGATTTGAGTTTAATGCAGAGAAGATCGGGGATCTAAACAGTCAAAGCATCGCTCGTACACAGAGGACAGGCGCGGATCTCGTTATTTTTTTTTTCCAAAGGGGGGGGGGGGGGCGAGGTGCACCCCAGTCAAAATATTCTATACCTAAAAAAATAATTCGATAAGCAAAAAAAAAAAAAAAAAAAAAAAAAGAATAACACAACTTTTAGTGGTTGTGGTTTGTGAGGGAGGGGAGGGGGGCAAATGTGCATACATCAGTATATACATTTGATAACTCTGTACATTTTGGGGGAGGGGGTCCGGTTTCCAAAATCCCCTGTTAAGTCCACGCACGGAGAGGTGCCGAGGGAATAGAACCCGAAAGTTTTTTTTTCAGTTTTATAAAGAAACGTAAAGACTGGGCACACAGTATCGGAGGGCGGCGCCCCCTTCCCGCTTTTTCTCGAACATGTTTTACTGTAATTTAGTATCAAAACCCATCATAACTATAGATCGAATTGTATTGCAAAAAAGTAAGAACCATACCACAGCCTCCCCCAGTGTCAATTATTTTTCTGGGTGCCCATTTCAGAAACGTTGCTTCGTGCATGACATTGGCGTCGGAAGCAAATTGAAAGGAGGGGGGGGGGGGCAAGTATAAAAAAAAATTATACCTTCAAAAAAAAAAAAACCTGACGAGCCATAATAAAAAGGGGGGAATGTCCATTTTCCAAACATCCTATTTCGTGGGAGAAGGGGGGGGGCTAAATTCAGTATCAATTTTTTTTCTTTCCAAACACCACCACTTTCCACATTTTTAACCTATACTGCGACGTGTCTGTGGAAAGTGGGGGTGGGGGCTAAACCAGAAATGTTCAATTATACTAAGTATATATTTGGAAGAAAAGTTCCAACACCTACCCATGAGGACTAGATTTTTCACGTGTTCTGTTTTTGTGTGAGCGTTGGACCCAAGGCACGGAAGCCTTTATTCTGAAGTTTATTTTTTTTCATGAGGATGCATGGAATAAACTAAATGTAACCCAACAAAACTGAGATTCTCCATACCTTCTTGGATGTGTTCGGCTGTATAAAATCACCTGATTATATATAATAATATATGATCACTTCAAATATTTTTTTTAAAAAACTCCTGTGTACTTTACAAAAACAAAAATTGGTCTGTCAATACATGTATATTTTCAAATTCCAAGATTATTTTTTACTAAATGAGGGTGGAGCTTCATGTCCACTCAAAAAAATACATCCAAACGCAAAAAAATGTGTGTGTGTGTAGTCGGGGGGGGGGGACAAGTCTTGTTGATAAGCTGTTTCAAATATTTATATGACTCTTCTACGTATTTACAGAGAGGTTCAAAACATCTGAAAGGGGGGTCCAAGGTTATTTCCTAATTGTTTTACTGTATAAAATTCATTAATGAAAATCCCAGGGGGTCGATCCTGGCCTCTATATAGCCCCCAACCCCCCTCCTGCCGAATCTGCCAGTAACACTACAGAAAAGGCTTTTTAAAAAAAAAATTAGAAAATTATTAAGGATTTTACTAGAGTATACCCCTGTTAATACATTATTATTTACAAACAGTCTTGATCTACAGTCATTACAAACAGACATGAAATTAATTTATTCATCAGCCTTTCTTTATATGTTTGTGTGGTAGGACGTATTTCATCATCATCGTCCACCTTTCCACCCTGCGGTGTGTATTGCAGCAACAAATTTCCTCCACTCTTGTCTATACTGGGCCAGTCGCGTCAATGATCATCAGGTCTGGTGCATTAATTGCTGGACGCATTGGGGAAATTATTACATTGTTAAGCAACGAATTAAACTGCCACCGTTATAGCGCCCCCTATTGTCTTAATAGGTCATAGCATAATGCAACCTTGCAAAAATTACAAATTACGCAAGTACAATTTACATTTCACAAGTTGACAAATCGTAAGTCTACGAATTACACGAGAGCATCGGCAAAACTTACATTTACATTTTACACTTGTCAAATTACGCATGGATAGTTACAACTAACAAATTGTGAAAAAACAATTGACAAATAATGAAATTAAGATTTACAATTTACAAATTCAGGTTTACATGTGTACATCTTAAGAATTACAGAGTCGGAATTTTGAACCCGTTGGCATTCCATACGTGTTTGCTCCGCTCCAATTTTGTGCTGTTTAATGGACTTTGGATTGTGTATACCGTTCGTTATAGCCATGCATATGTTTCATGCCGTCGAAAATAGTGATTCGGGTCCACGGCATTTATGTTATCACCCCCCCCCCCCCAAAAAAAAATCCCTGAATCAATTCTTATTCCGGGTGCTTGCTGACCAGTGACTACATGTATATTTGTTGACTTCTAAGGTTTGAAGTGACCCTGCGAACAGGAATAGAACCCATGCCTCTTGATCACGAAGGAAACACACTGTCTCCAAGATACTGTGATCTGCTAATTTTAAAATGTACCCTACCTAAATCTGTTAAGCTATTGTCAACATACTGTAGATTCCTAATTATACACGAGAAATTAATTATCGCGTAATTTCGCGAGAAGCAACACTCGCGAAATAAAATTACTCGCTTTTATTTTTATGTTGCTGAAATCCATGTAAATTCTATTGATCAAGCTTCCATTCGCGAATTATTATTCTCGCGATTTAACGTTAGAGAGCCGTCTCGCGATAATAAGTACTCGCGAAAAATAAGGAATCTACAGTCAATGTATTTGGTGTGTTTCATAGAGAAGAGAGACTAAGTGGATACGATTAACTACTGCTCCATTTTTATGCGCCCGGATTTCGAAAGATACGGGGCGTATATCGTTATAGTCCTGTCTGTCTGTCTGCCTAGCTGTCTGTCTGTCTTTCTATCTGTCTGTCTCTTTGTCTGTTTATGTGCAAACTTTAACCATTCCATAACTTTGGAACCATGAAAGATTGAGACTTCATATTTACTCAACTAATGAAGTTCTTTTAAATGACACCAAGGTCAATGACCTTCTGACCTTGACTGTAACCTATATGCTAAAATAGTTTTTTTTCTGCAAACTTTAACCTTCGCCGTAACTTTTGAACGATTAAAGATAGAGACCTGATATTTATTATCCATACACCACTTAGTAAGGTCTTTCATATGACACCAATGTCAAATACCTTGTGAATTTGACTGTGATCTATACATGTATGTTAAAATTAGATAGCTTTTTTTCTTTAACCTTCGCCATAACTTTTGAACCTTGAAATATAAAGGCTTCAAATTTGGTTTGCATACTTCACACATTATGATCTTAAAAATGAAACCAAGGTCAATGACCTTGTTTGTGACCTATATGCTAAAACTAACTTTTTGAACCTTAACAATAACTTTTGAGCCAAGAGAGATAGGGACTACATATTTGGTATGCATACTCCACCAATCAAGTTTTTTCAGATAATACCAAAGTCAATGACCTTGTGACATCGGCATTGACCTTTATGCTAAAAATAGCTTTTTTCGAACTTTATGCCGCAGGAGGCATAGTCTTTCACAAACACATATTGTTTTTATTATGGTGTGTGTTTTACAGAGAAACTACCCTGTGTAGACATCATAAACTACTGCAGTCAATTTGGGACAGATGTGTGTCAAAAGGAGTTCTATGGACAATACCTGAGGGAGAACTGCAGAAAGACCTGCAACTTCTGTAGAGGTATCTTTAATGCCAGAAAAGTATCAAAATTATACAGAATCTTTTATTTAATTTATCATATTGTATGAAAAGAATAATTGGTTAAAACATAAGAAATGATCTTGCATTCAGATTTGTACTTTGCTTGTCATATTGCTAGAAAACATAAGTTAATATCTGCTCTTGTAGATTTACTTTTGGATTGTTGAATAAGCAATTTCTGGTTCAACATATTTCTATTGTAAGTTACGTGTAGTTTTATTGATGATTTCTGTTTTAGCTCCAACAGAGTACCTAGTGTCTAGTACCACCAGTACCACTACACCAGGTAGGTCAACTCTAATAAGTAAATCAGGTATATCAGTACCACAGAGTACGTAGTCTCTAGTACCACCAGTACCACTACACCAGGTAAGTCAACTCTAACAGGTAAATCAGATATATCAGTACCACAGAGTACCTAGTCTCTAGTACCACCAGTACCACTACAACAGGTATGTCAACTCTAACAGGTAAATAAGCTATATCAGTACTACAGAGTACCTAGTGTCTAGTACCACTAGTACCACTACAACAGGTAGGTCAACTCTAATAGGTAAATCAGGTATATCAGTACCACAGAGTACCTTGTGTCTAGTACCATCACACCGGACACGGTAGCCTAGTGGTAGAGCGTTCGCTTCGTGATCGGAAGGCCCGAGTTCAATTCTAGTTCGCGGCGCTGCGTCAAACCTTCGCCAAGCGATCGTCACTAGAACTGAAAGTCACGGGTCTTTCGGATATGACCTTAAAAAGGTAGGTTCCGTGTAGCGACACGCGTTGGCACAATAAGGAACCCTCACTGCTCAATGGCCCTGAGTGCCGAGCATAGGTCTAAATTTGAAGCCCTTCACAGGCAAACGGTGTTTTCTCCATATGAGTGAAAAATTCTTGAGTTGGACGTTAGACAATATACAATCAATCAATCAATCAATCAATCTATTACCACCAATACCACTCCACCGGGTAAGTCAACTTTAATGGATAAATCAGATATATCAGTATCACAGAGTATATAGTGTTAAGTACCACCAGTACAACTACACCAGGTAAGTCAATTCTAACAGATATATCAGTACCACAGATTATATAGAGTACCACAGATTATATAGTGTTAAGTACCACCAGTACAACTACACCAGGTAAGTCAATTCTAACAGATATATCAGTACCACAGATTATATAGTGTTAAGTACCACCAGTACAACTACACCAGGTAAGTCAATTCTAACAGATATATCAGTACCACAGAGTACCCAGTGTCTAGTAAAACCAGCACAACTACACCAGGTAAGTCAACTCTAACAGATAAATCAGGTAATTTAACTCCCATTGTCTTTCAGGTAACATAAAAATATTTAAAGCAGGTGTCATCTTAAACATTTATACTGATTATCCCAGGACCTCAAAATCAGGGAAGGCAGTTGTAAAATATACCTGAGAAATCAGATATTCCAATAAGTTACACAGTTGAGATTGAATACTGTTCGTTATTTCCATATCCTTCTCTACACATAATTAGCTAAGACAGGTGTTAAAATATACAGTAAATCTGTTCAAATATGTACATAGTCACTACCAGTGCCACATCACCAGAAAATTAAAGATAGGCGTCAACTTTAAAAGTAAACAATATCTAGAGGTATTTATTAGATACTTCTCACAGAGTCCCAGTCATGACCAGTTCCACAACACAAGAAATGACAGGTGAAGCAAGTGTAAGATTTTTTAAATAACCTTTTATAATTGATCTTCGCTAGAGATCGTCCGATTTAACTGATACAGTTTATTTGATATAATTGTAATATTTCTGGTACAATAAAATCATTTTATTCTTCATTCATGCAAGTTAAACAATCACATGTTATTTTGTAGCACCAACAACGACGTATAACGCAGGTAAAGAAGACTGCTCAGTTTTTTTGTCAACTTTTTATGTCACTTAAGGTGATTAAAATGTCAAATGTCCAAACTGGGGCTTTTTTTATTTGAAAAGAAACCGAAAATACAAATCTTGAATGGAATACATCTTTTTAACAATACCTCTTTTCAGTTTTTTTTTAAGTAGTTCTATTTTTTGTGCCACCTTAATCGATGATTCAGGGCATGTACACTTAACAAAACTTCTAAGTGTTCACTTTAATAAATGCATTTATTTAAAAACTACTTTATTGAATGGTATAATATTTTCACACAATTACAATAAATAAGTCTTCTCAGCAATTGTAGAAAGAAAATTCAATATCACCGATGAAAACCAATGTTCCGTGACGAAGCTTAAAAACAATAAATCTGTACTTTGCAGCACGTGTTTTGTGTAATAAGCATCCTTTTGTGATCATTATCAAATTTTAAAAACTGGTTTCACTAAAAAACACAAAACTTTGGCAAAATAACCATTGATGTAGAGGGGAGAGCCGTTGGAATATTGATATCTGGACCATCTTCGCACCACGTTTAACTCATTTTTATTTTAGTGCTTAATTGTACTTGATATTACTTTTAAAAATTATCAAACAATATCAAAAACCCATTTAAACACATTTTTGTATAGGCTGTGCTCATTTTTTCATCACCAATTTATCACAATTTGAAAGTTTTTGACAAAATAAAACACACCGTAAGTGACCTTAATATTCATCTTGGGAGAAAATTTCGCGTTATACCAGGTAAAGAGAGTGTTCAAGTGTCCTGAAAAAATCTTAGGAACATGGAAACAAACCATTTAAATCGTACGAAAATGATAAGAAATCTGTGCTCGTGGCAGTCTTATATCAGCTCAAGCAGTCTGCATTATCCTTAAAGTGGCGCACTTACATGCTAAACACCCAAGGATATTGACCAAAAGGTACTTGTGTGACGATACACTGTCAAATTCCCGGATCTGAATCCCATTGAACACATTTGGGATTTTAAAAGAAATGTCAAAGCCCTCCCCCCTTTTCCTCACAATTTCAGTGGTTTGGAAGATCTAGTATGCAGTACATGTAGGTGTGGCAGCAGATGGGTCAATCTCCTATTCAGGGGTACATGGTATACAACAATAAAGATTGTCTTGAAGTAATAGAGCGAGTAGTGGGTCTAACTCCATCGAAATTTTTTTGTGCGAATTTTCATTATGAGGGTACATCATTTCCTTGACACTTTGCTTAAAATTCTGACGAGATACTTACATAAAAGTTACGCAACATTGAACTTAAATATGCATCATTAACAAAGACTTAAAGAAATTATTTATTGCTTGCATTTGTTCTTGAAAACTTCAAAAATGTGAGGTGAACACTTCGAAGTTTGGTTCAGTGTAGATTTGCCTGTCTGTCTGCGTTTGGTCACCAAAAAATAACATTGCGCAAAACTTTTGATTGGCTGGTACTATGACTATTTATATTTTAAAGTTTTAACCATGCAACAAAACCTTTTTCAGTAACATCACATTTCATGTTTCGTAAATTTATTCCTTGTGACAAAGCAATCCCTTTAGTTTTAAAGATTTTGATAATTTGTCATTTGATCTTGAACATCTGCTTGGAGTCAGGCCAATCAAAAGAAAAACTTGAATATTGGCCTTTTATTTTATATACCGTGTAATCATATTTCACAGGGGTTGTCAGGGATTATCTGCGAGTTTATGTTACGTCAACGTCATTGTTTCGCCATAATTCGTTACTTTTCTATAGATAACAACAAGACTAAAATAAACCACTATATGGCCATTACTTTCAAATGGGTAAAGGTAAAGGATTTATTTTTTAATTTTTAATGTTCTGGACAAGGCCTTTCTGTCCGTAATGGGTTGTATTTGGGTTTTCATATTTTAAGGTAAATTTTCATGACGAGTCACTCCTTCGGTACCAAACATTTAGAGTTTTTGACCTTGGAACCTGTCCTGATTAAAAAAAAACTCAAACCCTAGCCATAACTTTCAAACAACATTAGTATTTTTACAGGTGTATTTATCGTAGTAGAACAATCCTTGGGAAACAATTTTGATCAATTTTAGTTTACATGTAGAAATTAATTAATTAACATAATAGGGTACTCTGTTTTTATTGTTTCTTGGAATATATGTGTAGAACCAACCGCTTTCCTTAGGATTGTTTTATTTCAATGTGTCCAATACATTTTTCCTTGATATATGTAGACATGAAAGAGACTTGCTTTCAAAATCTTAGCTGAAATCTAAGGAATATTTACTGATTGATATTACGTTTTTTAGATATTTGATAGGCTCAGTATAAATATAAATTTATAAAAAGAATTTGTACTAGCTGTGACTACAGAGGATTCTGGCAATTATGTGTTTTTGGAGACAAAGCCAATAAGATTCATTTTAGTTAGTATTTTTGGTTATTTATCGTTTTGGGTGGATGGATTTTTCTGCTAATTTATATGAAGCATCTATAGCGTCCAGTGAAAATATCCCACAAACTTCATTTATAAATTTCCAAAACTGGCCAATTCCGACTGTTCGTAAAATTGGAAACATTCCGTAACATGCCGTTATCTTGAAAATTAAAAGGGAAGATGGAATGTTTGGAAATTTCTTTTTACTGTATAACAAGTTATTTTTGTAAAACTAAACTATAAATGAAATGTGCAAATCAAGAATTAGATCAAATATTTCTTTAAAAAATTTTGAGCAAGTAAGAGGAGAGATTGATAGAGTGATTTTGATGTCTAGTCGGTTTTGTTTCAACGGCACTAATATGCGTACTTTCGTATATCACGGGACGTATATCATTTATTTGACCTATATTCTTTTTTTGATGGAAACACTTATTGCAAATCAAGTCTTATTTTTAAATTGTACATATGAATAAAATTTTATATCAAAAGAAATAGTACAAAGTTAAACATTTTTAAGAAACCGAGAGCAAAAATTAAATGTCTAGCATTATTTGTTACACCTTTAATTTTTAACGTTTTACGCTTAGACGACGTACGCAACAACGTCAAAAATAGATATTTTGACTTTACAAAATTTTCAAGAAAAGTCATAGTACCTGCATGTAATTTGCATTGACTGCAGCCAAACAATATAGTTGGATAGAATATCTGTGCTAATGTATGAAAAAAATGTTTTAAATAATACCTGTTATTGAGGTCTCATAAAAAATATGACAATTTAATATATATATATATATATATATATATATATATATATATATATATATATATATATATATATATATATATATATATATATATATATACATGTATATATTTATTTATTTATTTATTTATTTATTATATGATTGAATAATTTCCATCTCTCTGATTGGCTGAGATCGAACTATGTTAGAAAAATACTACGTTGTATTGACCTGCACGTGACGTTCCAGGTCAATACAAGGATTTATTTCCTCTACATTGATCTAAAAATAGATTGGGAAATTCCAAATTGATACAAATTGTTTTGGAAAGCTTTATAAACGACTCTAATTTTTTTATGTGAAAAAAAAAAAAAGGCGAATATATATTTTAGGGTGAAGATGGTAAGAGGGGATGCACGGACCCCCATCCAACACTTTTACTGAACATGTTTTTTGTTGTTTTTTTTTTTTAACTTTTTGGCAGTCAGTTTTCCATGATAATAATTACTCCTTCCTTTCAAAATCTATCCTATAAAAACAATGACATTGTATTTTTTTCATGGAAACTAAAATTGATTTATAAAAAAAATATTTCAAATTGATACGACTGGTAAGGTTTATTCACATTTTAGGTCTGTTTCTGTCTTGTACTTGGCTAGGACTTTATTAAGCTCGGTGAATATTGTACTCCTCAGATGGCTAAATCATTGTATTGACCTCAAAAAGCAGCAATAATTGTATATTAGCTTCAGTTGACCGAGAATATACTTTATATTGTTCGCCTTTCCAAACGGCATTGCTTCATTGGGCACATTCGTGTCAGATCGACTCAGTGAGACCCGATCAAGGAGCACAGGTCAACAGAATATGCTTACGTCTCCAAGGCATGTCATCCAGGTCTGTCTTTGTTCTTTCTGATTTATACTGAAAGGAAAAAGAAACGCAGGGTAGCATAATTTTCGATAAAAACACTACCACATGACCGAAAATTGCGAAAATTGATCAGAATGGAAATTTAGTTACTATGCATCAAAATCAGTATTCAGAACTACTCAACCGTAAAATTTATGACGTCACGTAGGGAAAACTCTAAAAAGCCCAAAACACGTGCAATTTTATAACGACGAGTTTGTCAACAAATCTTGTTGCATTATTTGATGCATATGAGGTATGGAAAGCGTTTTTCAATATTAAGAG